CCCCCCCCCGGGAAGACGTTGTAGATGTTATTTAATTTGTGTATGAGATGCGGGTGATGACTGGTGGTGTGGTCGTCTCAGGTAGGAAGGGGTTGCCTGTTTGGGCTTGTTGTATTTCGGCTGTGTCCAATAGCATTCTTTTTCTTGTTCCTGAGAGGTCACAAGCGCGATCGGAGTCAGCGATTGAGAGGGCTGCGGAGGAATTCCGATTGGAAGTTGCTTGGATGAATACGTATTGGATGGTACCGAGTGCGGCGACGTATGATGTGTTGCGTAAGGGTTTGGATAATGTAAGTCAGCAGCGGGAGGGTTGGACGTCACATGGCTCGTTGGTTTATCAAGGATTGGAGGAGCGGAAGGCTTGGTCGACGGTAGGATCAGGAGCGCTATTGAGAAATACGTTGAATACAAACGGGTGTACGCTGCGTGTGACGGGTTCGTTATGGAGGCCATTGTTTATGCCTACGGCTTGTGCGTGGACGGTTTTTGCAGGACGGTATATGGCATCACGGAGTGGTTTGGAGGCTCATATGACACTGCTTAATTCAATGCCGAAGGAATGTTGGCAACGACTTCGTAACATCAGGCCGGAGCACCTGTGGAAATGCAGTCTGTCATACTTGGAACTAGCTGCCGTGATTGGATTGTATTTCGACTTCCCTTATGGCTTCATCGATCTAGAAATTGCTAACTCTGTTCTGGAATCCATGAACCTCAAACCCTTCAATCGTCGTGTTAAAGCCTGGTTTATCGGATGCTTACTACAACACTCAAAGGTACCCATCAACCACTTAGTCGAATTCTGTCTTCGCACACTCAATTATCATCCAAGACCACATCGAGACTATTTAGAATGTCTCGCACCGCGATCAGCATGCTGCCAAAAGGGAACTAGACGTGCAATGTCCATCGATGCACGACGCAGGATCATTCAAAATAAATTATCTGGACTCGTCTCTGTCACACCTCAAGGCTTTGCCAAATTGATCAATATCACACCAGGTGTCGATCGCATCGCACACGATGGTGCTGCCGATGCTGTACATGAATGGGCCACCCACTTCTGGCAACCACTCGACAAACTTAAATTTGACAAACTCAGAATCGTACCAGGCCTCCAAGAACGCGTCCTCAAATCCACACACCAGGCCCTACAGGCCCAGGCCCGACAGGCCCAGGCCCTGCAGAGTCCACGCGGAGCCTGGGTCGCCACCCAGGATTCTTCGGCCCAGGATTCTTCGGCCCAGGATTCTTCGGCCCAGGATTCTTCGGCCCAGGATTCTTCGGCCCAGGATTCTTCGGCCCAGGGTTCGTTGACGGCGTGTTCTCCGCCGTTGCCTCTCGATGTCAAGCCCCAGGTGTACCAGCCCACGTTGCCTTCATTGGTCTCATTGGGTCTGACCAGCAATTCGATCAAGGATGACTTTCACGCCTACCAGCTGCTCCATGGCTCGCTGTCTTGCGAGCAGTGGAAGCGTCTGCTGGGTGCGGAGCTGGCTGACTTTGAGCACTGTGGGCTGGAGTATGTGGAGCTGGGTGCGGTGATCTCTAACTACTTTCAATTGCCGTATGGAACGTTGGAACCGGTTACGAGAGAGTTTTTGTCCCGACATCTTCAGGACCGATCGTGCCAGCAAGGGGTGGATTCGAACCGGCTACCTCTGGATCCGATGAGACAACTGAATCATTGGATTACAGGCTGCCTCTTGCAGCGGGCGAAAGCAAGCGGCGAACAGCTCGCGGACTTTTGCGTCCGCACACTAGGGTACAAGCCGGTACGCAAAATCGACGTACTCGATTGCTTGCGGCCACGTTCTGGTAATCACTTCCACCGACGAAACGCGGAAACCACCCTCTCAATGCATCATTCACGTCTCCGCCACCGACTCGCAAATTTGCCCACAGTTTCTATACGAGAATTTGCATGTCTACATCAGGACAGCGTCCCGGACCTCCTTAAACTCGTTCGGGGAAAAGGACGTGGTCGCCCCCGGAACCCAAGTGCTGAGGTCAAATCAGACACCCATGCAAATCAAGAGACACAACCATCGACCACTGATCGTCTACCGACCACTGATCGTCTACCGACCGCTGATCGTCTACCGACACCCTCCCAGCGCACGATAGCAACCGACTTTAATGAAAACACGCCGATGAAAAAGAAGAAAAAGACGCACCGTTCACGGCAGGATTCCCCAGTCGCACACTTACCGGAGGCTGCCGACCTTGAAGTACTGTCCATCGAGACACACGTTGTCGCAACAAATGCTGTTGGATCAGATACTAGTGCACCCGTCCCCATTCAGACACATTCACCTGAGGTTGTATCCACTGGGACAAGTTCCCCCGTGCCTGATTCCGCTGGAGCTGGAGCGTCTTTTTCAGGGGTTGATTCCACCTCGCTGAAGACCGCGAAGTCGCTGAAGACCGCGACGTCGCTGAAGACCGCGACGTCCAGTAATGGGTTGCTTCAACACAGCCTGGCAGCGTTGAACAGATTGTCTAAGGAGCCGGCTCTGCTTCCGGAGGCCAAATGGTGGGTGTCTTGGGAAGACGAGCTGGAAGCGGCAGGGGTCGTGGAGTACTACAGCGGGCGGACCTAAACCGACACGATGATCGAACACGATGATCGAACACGATGATCGGTGCCACAATTGCACGCGATTTCTGTTGTGGTTAAATTAACCATTTTCGAAACATAATCTCTTAGCCGCCCCATCCCCTCGGTCTGTGACCGTCCCTCGGTCTGTGACTGTTCCCTCGGTCGAACGTGCGGCAATTATAAATTTAATTGTGCAGAATGCGAGTTATGTCAAGCGGGGTGGTTGCGAACAGGAAGGGGTTGCCTGTGTGGGCGTGCTGGGTCTTGGCTGTGTTTGGTGCGCCTTCGGAGTTTGGTCTTGAATCGGAAGTCAAGGTTCGATTATCGGCGCTGGAGGGAACCGTACCGCCGGAGGGAACCGTACCGCCGGAAAAGACCGTACCGCCGGAAAAGACCGTACCGCCGGAAAAGACCGTACCGCCAGAAAAGACCGTACCACCGGAGAGGACCGTACCGCTGAATTGTGAGGGTCGGTTGGAATCGAAGTTGGGTGCATTTTCTGTGCCGAGTGCGGAGCAGTTAAAGGTGGGTGGTTCGTGGATGGCGCAGTATTGGACGCCGTTGGAGCCTGAAGAGTATGAAGAGTTGAGGCGAGCTTCAGAGCAGGGACGTGAGACTTGGTGTATGAATTCGGCGTTTTTATTCGAACGTGTGACGGATGGCCAGTTATGGACGACTGTGGGTAGCGGGTCGTTGTTGCGGCCGTTGTTTATTCCCACGGTGAGTGCGTGGACGCAGTATGCAAGTCGGTACGTGGGTCCGAGGAGTGCTTATGAGGGGTATCGTGCCCTACTAGGTTCGTTGCCAAGCGCTTGTTGGCAGCGATTACGAACAATACGACCCGAGGACCTGTGGGGTTGTAATCTAGCCTATATAGAGTTAGCTGCGGTCGTGTGTTTATTCTTTGATTTTCCTTACGGCCTATTGGACCAGGAGACGGCGCGACGTATTCTGAGCCGTGTAGGCCTAACACCCGCACGACGTAAGGCCAAGATATGGTTCGTAGGCTGTTTACTACAACACTCAAAGGTACCCATCATGGACCTACTAGACTTCTGCTTACGCACTTTAAACTACCATCCACAACCCGGAACAGACGCACTTGAATGCCTGTCCACACGATCTGCAGCATGCTATAAGCATTCTCGCAATACTGCGCCCTACCCGTCACGATTCCAGATCATGAGGAACAGACTTAACGGCCTCCAAAATGTCTCGGCCATACGATTTGCACACATGACCAAACTTAAACCCGGTCGTGACAGATATGCCCACATCCCTCCCTCCAATGATAGTCTCCGACAATGGGCTGCCCACTACTGGCTCCCGCTCGACCGAGCAACCTTCGACGCCCTCAAGGCTGTCCCGAACCTCCCGCAACGCGCCCACGAAATTACACAGCAACTCGCAAACCAGGAACAGCTGAAAAACGACCAAGACCTGACGGAGCAAGGCCTCCCGAAGCAAGGCCTCCCGGAGCAAGGCCTCCCGACGCAAGGCCTCCCGGAGCAAGGCCTCCCGAAGCAAGGCCTGCCCCGCCTTTACGCCCCGACACTGGTCTCGCTAATTGCCCTCGGCTTCGCCACGAGTGTGTTTGGAGACAGCTACCATGCGTATAAGGTGATCCACGGCTCCCTGACCAGCGAGCAGTGGCAGAGTCTGCAGCAGGTGGAGCTGGCGGACTTGGAACGCTGCAGTCTTGCCTACGTGGAATTGGGCTCAGTCATATCTCACTACACCGAACTGCCCTACGGTTCGCTGAGTATGGAGACCAAAGAGATGTTGGGGCGGCACTTCCCGCCAACGAAGTCGACCCGACAAGTGTCGGAACGACAAGTGTCGGAACGACAGGGGTCGGAACGACAGGGGTCGGAAGACCAACAAAAGAACCGACAACTGCATCGTTGGATCACCGGATGTTTACTTCAGCGCTCGAAAGTCACGATTCAACAGCTCGTCAGCTTCTGCATCGGACCATTGGACTATCAACCTATAACCAACCGTAACCAGCTCGACTGCCTACGCCAACCAAACGGTAACCACTACTACCGCCGGGACCTCACCATTAAGCGCCAGGAGCGACGAGACCGCCTGAATCGTCGACTCCGCAAAATGCCCGTAATCTCCGTACAAGACTTCGCCAAACTCAGTCAGGACAACGTCCTCGCCGTGCTTAACCGCGCACGCAAACCCGCGAATCGAACCACCGACCAAAAGCTTCCAAGCCCACCCTCCCGACAACCACCCACCCTCCAGCGACCAAGTATCCAACTTGGTCGACGCCGCGCTCCTCCCGCAACCGATCAAGAACCCTCCAGCAACAAAAAGGCACACCTGGACGCAACACTCCCTTCTGAGAACCGTTGGGTTCATTCCTCACCCGAGACCAGCTCCACCCAAATAAACTCCCCTCCGACTGCGTCCCCTCAGGCTGAGTGCCATGTGGCTGAGTGCCCTCAGGCTGCGTCCCCTCAGGCTGAGTGCCATGTGGCTAAGTGCCCTCAGGCTGAGTGCCATGTGGCTGAGTGCTCACAGGCTGAGTGCCGTCAGGCTGCGTCCCCTCAGGCTGAGTGCCATGTGGCTGAGTGCCCTCAGGTTGCGTCCCCTCAGGCTGAGTGCTCTCAGGCTGAGTGCCCTGCATGGAACGAAAGAGCTCTGTCCACTGAGAAGCATCCACTGGACTCCTTCTTCGAAGAACGCTTCCTTGGATCTCTCTCCACTGGGGTTCATCCCCTAGAGACTGGCTCCTCCCTCCTTGCAGCTCTCTCTGCTGGTAGTAATTCCCTTGGAACTGGATGCATTGATACTGGACCACTAAAGGCTTTGGTGTCTGACTCTCCTGGAATTAGCCCCCTCTCCACTGGAGCTCTTTCCGATGGGACGGACATCCCTGGACCTGGCCCTCAACAAGCTCTCTCTACTCAGTTCCTTGGAACCGAGTTCCTTGGAACCGAGTTCCTTGGAACCGAGTTCCTTGGAACCGAGTTCCTTGGAACCGAGTTCCTTGGAACCGAGTCCGTTGGAACCGAGTCTGTTGGAACAGAGTCCGTTGGAACACAGTCCCATGTAACGCGGGCGAGGGAGTGGTGGACGTCTTGGGAGGGCGAGCTGGAGGATGAAGGAGTTCTTGAATATTATGGGGGTCGGGTGTAAGGGCCGGAAGAGAAGGTCTGGACCTATGCCGTCCTCTCTGGGGCGTGGTGGCTTTTTTGAATGGTAAATGCAAGTGCCGCGAACACACCGTAGAAGGTCGTTAGCGAGGCCGTTGTGGGTGTTGTCGCCAACGATGTTGGGTGCCCCGGGCGAGACAGAGTGGATAACATGGAGTCAGGAGCGGCAGTGGATGAGACAGTATTGGGAGCCGTTGGACAGAGAGGTTTTTGAGATGGTGTGGGCCCGTTCGCAGCGTCCAGAATTGCGGCGCTTGGTCGAGACGGAGGTCGCTTCTGCTAACCAGCCGCACATCACGAGTTCTGGTGACACGAGGGCTCGCGCGGCTGCTCCGCCGGAATTGGAGTTGGGCTCGCTGAGCTTAGATTCGGCTGACGAACCGGACGCCTTGCGGGCATGGACGGGGGCCGAGGGCTGGACGTTGTTGTCTTCCGGTCGTGGAAATTTAAAAGAATGGTGCGCCCGTCCGCTCTACATCCCCACCCTTGTTACGCCCAGCGGTGTCGCCGGGCTCCTGCCGCGCCGCGGCTGCGAGCTCACTCCCTCCCGCCCTTCCGACCTGGTCTCGCTCTCAGACGAAGATGCGCTCTCAGACCAAGATGCGCTCTCAGACCAAGATGCGCTCCCGGAGTCCCCGGACGCGCTCTCCGAGTCCCCGGACGCGAAAAATATGTGTGGACCCAGCCAACAAAAAACGCCGTTGTTTCCTGGGTTATGGGACGCGTACCGCGCTCTGTACGGGACGCTACCGAGCTGGGGTTGGCAGACGCTGCGGAAGGCAAGGTTGGTGGACTTTATGGAGTGCGATTTGGCGTACGTGGAGTTGGCTTCAATCATTTCAATCTTCTTCGCGGCGCCGTACGGGGCAGTAGATTGGAACTTTCAAGCTCGTCTGGCGACCATCATGAATGTATCTCCACGGAGCAGAAAAGTAAAGTTCTGGGTGACGGGATGCCTGCTACAACGAGCAGAAGCCGACAAGGATACGTTGGTTGAATTCTGCCTAACTCAACTTCGTTTCATACCGCTACGATCTGTCGGCGCTGTACGAAAACTGGAGTGCCTCCGTCCCGGCTTTCGCAATAAAGATTATCTCAAACGCTTCGCCACAGATACCCGCGATACACTCCTCCACAACCTCTCCGACCTACCCGTTGTCACAGTCGACCAATACGGTGCCCTGACGCAGTGGATCGAGTCACAACCTCACCACTCACGCACCACCCACGAGGAGCCACGGCGGTCCCTGCGACTACGGAGACCATCCGGAATTGGGTCTCTACTACCGCAGCCCAAGGCCCTTCACCCTAATGGTCTTGTCCTTAATGGTCTTGTCCTTAATGGTCTTGTCCTTAATGGTCTTCAAAAAGTCCATCCATCCACAGTTCAGCCGCGAGTCGCACGATCGACTGTTCAGCGTCAAACAAACGCCCCACCACAGGACCAAGAAGCGCTTACGGAGGAGGTGGAGGATCCGGCTAAGGAGAATCCGAGCAAGCATGAGGAGAATCCGAGTAAGCATGAGGAGAATCCGAGTAAGCATGAGGAGAATCCGAGTAAGCATGAGGAGAATCCGAGTAAGCATGAGGAGAATCCGAGTAAGCATGAGGAGAATCCGAGTAAGCATGAGGAGGGGGAGGAGGATCCGAGTAGGCAGGTGGAACGCTTGATAGAACGTAAGTTAGAACGTAAGGTGGAACGAGAAGAAACGAAGATGGAGAGGAAGCAGAGGCGGTTGCGGAAGAAAGAAGAAAAGGCGGCGCGGCGGCAGGCGAGGGAAGAGCGAAGACAGGAGCGGAAGAGGAAGCGGGAGATGGACGACTGGGATATTCCCTACAAGCAACATTGCCCGTCGCCGCCCGAGTCGGTGTTCCAAAATACCTCCTCGCTCCCGTGTGCCCCGAAATGGCCCGACTCAGCGGCCGCCGGTTTTGTAGCACCGGTGGACTACAGTGGCCGCTGGTGGGAGTCGTGGGAATCCGATTTGATCAACTCTGGACAACTAAAATGTTACAGCGATCAGGTCTTGAAATACCCTGCTCAATCACTCTAACTAACTTGCCATACTTGGTCACATTCTTAGTTTCTCTCCACGAATTCTGGACGAATACATCACCAGCCAGCCAGTCAGCCAGCCAGTCAGCCAGTCAGCCAGCCAGTCAGCCAGCCAGCCAGTCAGCCAGTCAGCATCACCCAGACAACTTTCGTGCTTCGGATCCTGCACCAGGTTACGGAATGAGGTGTTTGCCAGGCAGAGTCCAGAAGCGGTGGATTGCAAGTAGTATGTCTGATTATATATTCGTTACAAAAAAGACCACGTTGAGAACCGATGTGTACCTCCACCTGTTTCGTATCATTTAGTCTAGAACGCGCGCAAATAGATCTTGTTAATCTTTGAGCTTTTTACTAAGTCGTTTGGCAGCGCCCTTTAAACCATTGGCATGATCGAAGGACTTCTTCTTCTTCACTTTCACATCATCGGTTTGGGATCGAATTTTTTTGAAATGAGGTATGTAGGGTTGCCAGTCCTTATTTTTCATTTGTTCATTCCTTGCTAGCTCCCTCTCGATCATAAGTGTTTTAAGAGAATATATAGGGTGTATATTATTCATGCAATCAAGCACAATCTTGCGAACTCTTTTTATTCCTTTCCAATCACCCAGACATGCAACTGTCTGACCAGCCACAACGATGTGACATCGTGTTAAAACTTCCATAGCTTTTAATGTACTTTCATTAGGGCCAATAAGTCGTTGTCTTCGTCGCACAAATCTATCCTTATTACGAACCACTCCACCAATCTTTATAACCTCACAGTACACATCATCTTGGAATATCTTTGACG